CACATCATAAATGTTGAATAAACTTTTTTCTGTTGTTTTTGAAAAGTTTTACTTTCAATTTTGTTTTATAAAAAAGCCAAGAAAAACAGCGTGTGTGTCTCCAAAAATAAAGGTGAGCAGAAAATGTAAAGTAGTACGTTGTCAAAACGTGATGAAATGTCTCTTTGGGTACAGTAAATTAAAGCTGCACTATTCATTATTTTCAGATTAACAATAAGTCATTGGAAAGAAGGGTGAATATTGGATTTACATTCATCAGGTGGAAACAAACATGAATCCAGATGAATGCTAATGTTTCTTTGTGTCTGCTCGATGTATAAATGGCAACTATTCACTAATGCGTTAACCACAACAACTTTATAAGGTGATAATGTGTCAGTGTTGTGTTTACAGCTTGTTGCATGGCCCACAAGTGGCCAAAAAAATCTACTTATATTGCTTCAGGAAAACTTTTAAAGTGGCTATAATCTATATTTTTTGTAATAACAATGTCTTAAATGACAATGCCAAAACAATGTGAGAGGGGTCATGCGTAGTGATGAACCTACAGAGAATTATCACCCAAATCTGCAGCTCCCCTCGGCTTTACAGAGTTTTACAGTGGATTCACTGTCACTGCTTTTATAGTGTCGTAGCTGGCTGCAGCAGGCAGCTGTTTTCAGTGAAAAAAAAACCTGTGATAAACCCACTGTATGCTACCTGCGTAGAACTGAATGGCACAAAGACTAGCCAGTAAACATAGTGGGTGAATTAGCTGCCAAAGAGCCAGATATTTCTTGCAGGAATTTGGACCAAAAAAAACAAAAAGCTAACAAGAGAGTGTGGATTGGACTTACATCCATCAGGTTGACTCGAACAAGAATTCACATGAATGCTATCGTTGCTCCGTGTCTGATGGATGTGTAAATGACACATGAAATGAGCCATAACTACTTTATAAGGTGATGAAATGTCTAACAGCGTGCTGTGCTGCGCTCCAAGTATTCAAAAAAATCAATTAGCATTGCTTTCAGAAAATTCTTTAATGACATAAAATAATCTATGGTATCAAAAAGTATAGAAGTGGCTTATGCTGCACAATGTATGTCATCAGTTAAAAATAGTGTAGTATGGCTGCAAGCTGCATCAAATTTAAACTTTACGTTAAAGCACATCATCAGCTGCTGAAGAAAGAAACTAAAGCACTGCCTGCAAGTTTTTCCATATAAAACCATCAGCTACATGCCTGAAACTTAAATATAATCTTAATGTACAGTAGAGAGGAGCAATCACCCGAATCAGTCCATATTTTACCTATAATGAGCCTGTCTGTGCAGCGAGATGACTCTTCACCTTAAGTCATCATGACTCACCAACCATCTGCTCCTCAGAGTTGTTGTTGTGTGTATGTATATGCGTGGGTGTCGGAGACAGAGGACAGTGTGAAGAGGCCTGTGAAGAAGAGATGGTGAATCACTGTATCATTCTCACAGCCTCCCACATAGATCTCCCTACGTCTGCGCAGCATTCACAGCAATCAGTGCAGATTGACGGCAATTTTTGGTCTCTTGAGTCGACTGTTTTCTTTTGGTTTAGTTAGACGTCAAGCTTTATTACCTTCATTTATCAACCAAAGCAAAAAAATCCACACTTACACTCAGTTTTGCCCTGGCTTGAGGCTGACTTGTAAAACCTCATCTACTTTGTGACTGATCAGCTTCACTGCTGGGTTCAGAGTAAAACTCCTTGGCCAAGAGGCACTGAAATATACACAGAAAATGGGACAAAGGACATTTCATTTTATGATTTCTGGACCAAAGCGAAGCCGTAAATGTTGTTTATGCTTCTCAGTCTGCATTTACTTTGGTTAAGTGCCCACTAAGCTCTCGTACAAATAACTAATAAACAAAATGACTAATATTAGCTGGTATTTGCACAAACAACGACATGATGACTGCAGTATATTTTGATATTTTAAAGTAAGACTATGTACTTTTTGAAAGAAACAACACAACCATTCTTTTACAAATAAAAAATTACATTGATAAGGATTAAAATGCAACCTTTTTCACTCCACTACATTCTGGGGTTTTGCTGGACCAATACAGGTCTGATATAGTAGTATCTAACATTATCAAGTCAATTTACTGACCTAATGACTCTTACTTAACATAACCCCCCCAAATGTCACTTAATGCCACCGTGGCTTTGAACGAGACAGATTATACAGCTATGCTAGCTTTAACTAGCTCTGTTTGGCTGTATATGGCAGGCAAAGCTGTGTTTGAGCTAAATGCTAACAGCAGCATGCGCACAATGACAGTACAACTTAGTTAGGCACGTTAGCATGCAAATTTTGATTTGATGATAGGAGCGGATACAAAGTCGGAGGATCAACATAGTTATTGCAATTCATCCTGAGGGGACCATGACTAAAGGCGATCCATCCAATAGTTGCTGTGATATTTCAGGCAAAACCACAAATGTCAACTTAATGGTGGCACTAGAGGAAAAGTCAGAGGGTCAATTACGTCTTTAGGCTTCATCCTCTGGGGACCGCGAACGTCTGTACGAACGAGATATTTCAGAGGAATTGACCGACTGACTTTGCCAATATGACAATATGTATGAAACACATAAACCATCTTTAAAAATCCACACAGTAGCTGTTTATCATTTCATTCAGTTTTATTACAAACAAAAAAAAAGAAAGAAAAAAAAAGGAGATGCGTCATTATAGACATGTTTTCACTGCCACTCATCATTTGATCGGCACCACTAAATACACAGTGACACAAAATACCCAGAAATTAACACAAAAATCTGGAAAGAGGACAAAGTAAAAGTGGAAAAAAAAAAGAACTAAGTGCTTGATTTTGACGCAACATTTTAGTTCAGGGGTTGCAAAACTTTTGAATGAAATAAAATTTGGAAAATGGACTCTGACTATTTCCTGGGAAGATCTGTGTAAAATGTCCTGGGTTTATGGGATAAATTAACTCCTATCTACCTTGTTTTTTTTTTTTCCATTTTTAACTTAAAGCAGAGTTTGACTAGGATTTACAGGTTGACATCAGGTTCTTAATTCATTTTAATGACTTTACAATTGTTCAGCTATGTTTATTAAGGCGTTTTTAAATGATGCGGTGTATAAAATGGTTTTCCAGCCTCTGAATTTCCAGATAATAACCGTGTATTTTTACTGGGGTTAGATAGTATACATTTTCTTTTTGCCCATAGAAGCATTTAGGGTTACATATGGCCTCTTTTCTATATATGTATATGTCATTTGCAAGCCCCAAATCTAAAATGTAAGCAAGAAAAATTAGATTTCTTGTAATATATCTACTTCTGAAGTTAGCTCAACTTCTTCGTTTCCCTTCTCTTGTAATTATAGGACAAACATGGCAAAGAGGTGCATCGTGTGTCGCACATACTGTATCGTTTTTCATAGTTTCTTGTTACAAAAAAATGTCTCTTTTGGTAGAAGCTCTTTCTCAAATAGCAACAGCGAGAACAACAGCAACATCGACGACAACAATACTCATAATCGCGAGAGTAAAAACACAAGAGAACACGAATGAGCTGTTTAAATATGCAAAGTATATCACAGGATTTTGTAGAAAGAAATAGAAACTTGGAACAAAAAAACAACTAAAAAAACAAAAAAAAAAAACAAGAAAAAAGATTGACTGAGAGAGGGGAGAAGGGGGAAGGAGAGGGAGTCAAGAGAAGTGTTGAGGGTGATCGATAGGGTTTAATAACACTGACTTGCTTATGAAAGGTTATAAACATTCATAGGAGGTTTTTTTCTTGAAAAATAGCGTCGTCGCAAGGCCTTTTCTGGAACAGACCCCCCAAAATACCTCCAAGCTCTGTACATAAACTAGAACCAGGGATGCGGGATGGGATGTCGGCAAATACTTTATGTGGTCAAACAAGTCCTGAATATAGTTATCATTATCATACCTCACTGCGTGTGTTTTATCTAAACATGTACCATTGAAAAAAAAAAAAAAAAAAAAAAAAAAAAAAAAAAAAAAAAGAAGCAAAACGAAACAAAGGCCCGAAAAACGCTGGAGCTGTGCTTGGAGCTGCTCGGACTGAGAAATCAAGAGTTTCAGCCTCTTTCTGAGAATTAGAAACAGCATTGAAACGACTGTAGGCACAGCTTGATTTTTTTTTTTTTTTTTTTTTTTTTTTTTTTTTCCTTTCCACGAGACAGCATTATTGTGATCTGAGCATGCTTCAGGGGATGGAGTGCGGCGGTAGAAATGATTTTACTTTCACATGCAGCTTCCTGTCGAGAGTTTAAGGAGCAGGGGAAGGAGGAGGAAGGTTACATGGTCTATTGAGAGATCTAAAGGTTTTAGGATTGAGGTGCGTTTTGTGTGTGTGTGTGTGTGTGAGTGTGTGTGTGTGTGTGTGTGTGTGTGTGTGTGTGTGCGTGCGTGTGTAGGTGAGGTTAGAAGCATCCCTAGAGGAGGAGGAGGAGGCCTGTGTGAGCAGGCCGTTTATGAGGAGTATAATGGTTTGAGGCAGACAAGAAAAGGTCACAAGAAGTTATGAGACAATATGGACTGTATGTACTGTAGGAGTGTGTGTCCATGGACAGTAAGTGCACATATGTGTGAGTGTTATTACCGTATGTGTGTGTGTTATTGGACATTTTTTTGGGGGAGTACCAGTCAGCAGAATAAAGTTTTAGAAGATTCGTGTCTGTGTGTGTGTGTGTGTGTGTGTGTGTAAAAGTGTGTGTTTGTGTGTCAAAGGAAGCGACTACAATCACTAGCGGGTCAGTAAGTTCACCCTCAGTCAGTCAATTAGTTTTAATACTGGGCGCGTGGTTCAATGGTGCCGCCCGAAGAGCATTCACCGCTGGGACTCAACTTTCTTGGGAGAGAAATTGAAGATTCGTTTGCAGCAGATGGGTTTCAGTGTGTGTGTGTGTGTGTGTGTGTGTGTGTACGTGTATGTGAGAGAGAGAGGGTTGTGCTTGTGTGTGTGTGTGTGTGTATAGTCTAGTCGTCGATACAGATGACCTCTCCGCTGCGCTGCTCCCGCCGGTGGAGTAGCATCTCCACTTCCCGCTCCTTCTTTACAGACATGGGAGGCCCGTTAAGCACTGCAGGGGGAGAGAGAGGGAGAGAGAGAGAGAGAGAGGGAGAAACATGGAGTGAGTTCAGCTCATCTGCTTCAACAGGTAAGAGAGAGCAGACAGCCCTCTGTGTGAAACGCTGACTGTTCTTACACACAGGAATAGAAACATATGTAGACGTCAAGTCCAACTTTGAGCATCAGTGGCAGCGGCAGCACAGTCACTTGATCATTACCAGTGCGGCTGTGTGTGTTTTCACCTGTGTGTGTGTGTGTGTGTGTGTGTGTCATCATGGCAAAATGTGAATCTTTTATTTATTTTTAGTTATTTTATTGGTTTAAATGTTGTCAAAGTTACACACGTTTAGTATGACAATACTGGCAGCCTGTAAAATACCCACCATGTGTACAATTTTAACTGTAGAGCGTAAACTCTACCCTAAATTGACGAAAAAAAACCATATTCACACACACACACACACACAAAAAGAAATACATAAAACATGACCTTAGTTTCCTCAGTGGTAGCAACGGCCCTGAATGGATGACTGTTTAAAGTCCTCATAAACAACAATGAATGTCTTCTTCAAGGCGGAGACACAATGACCTTTGGGTGATCAGAGACTTAAAATCCATGTAAAAACTGGTTTAAAACAATGAAAATATAAACATATATATAAAATATAAAAGAAACCTGAAAATGTCAATTGATAAATGACTTCCAAAATGTTTATTCATTAAAGAAAAGAAGAACAGAAATATTTCTGCAGTGGAGCTGACAAAGGGGACGAGAAGTAACATCCTCTTTTGTAAAATAAAGCAATATTGTTTGTGGGAAACATGGCCCAAGTTCTGAGAAGCACACTAAAAATATCCCTGGTGCCGATGATGCGTTCGTCAATAACATCTGTATCTGCATTGTTTTCTTATGACAATTCAACCAAGGACCATTATTTTCAGATTATCGCATGTTAGTACCATCACTCCTAACGCGTCATTTTTCCACTCTTAAGGAAACAAACCAGGTCCAGGCATGCTGCATGACACTTTGATAATCTTTTTAATGAGCAAACTTGCATAATACAGTACATCAATATATCATATTACATATACAGTATCATGTTTACAATGATGAGAAAATCCCAGAATGCATAACTGTTAACCTGGCGAAAGTGAGGCCAGCAATGAGTATAAACACACGCTCTCTCACACACACTTACAAACACACACACACACACACACACACAGGAACATGAGGACACAGACACACAAACACACACACACACACACACACGCTTGAAAATTATCTTCTTTCTACACGAGTGCACAGCTGGCCAGCACAGGGATCTGTGCTTCCCACATTTGTGCTCTATCATGAATCTGCTCGGGGAGTGGAACGGCGAGTTTAGCGCTCCTTTCAAAACAAAGCCAGGAATAGCCTAACAGCGCACTTCTCTCACTCGCGCCACAGGCAAAGATAAACTGTCATAACACACCCCATGCAGATCAAAGATGTGATAAGGAGTGTATTGAGCTGAGGACATTCGGGGGGGCTCCAACTGTGTGTGTCTAGAACCAGTGGGGGGACCATTTATGGGAAAACTTATGGCACTTTGCCAGCGGAGGCCAACAGAGGGAATGGAGGAAAAGAGGAGACGGAGTCAGTAAGTGTGTATGTGAGTGTTAGTGTTAGTGTTAGTGGTGGTGGTGGTGGTGGGGGTGGGGGGCAGACAAAATCTGATAAGGAGCAAAACAAAATCGAGGTAAAGACTGGGTGAAAGAGCAAGAGAAATTACGGGTACGTAGCCAAAAAAAGATGCAGAGACAGAAGATAGAGACGTGGAAGAGAGAGACGAAAAGAGAGAGAGAGAGAGAGAGAGAGAAAAGAAAACAGTACAGTGCTCTGGAAAGGGAGAGGACAAAAAAAAAAAAAAAAAAAGGGAGTCCGACCGATAAGTCAGCACGGCCAATATAACAGCAAGAAACTGCAGCACTGATATGCCAATTTAAAATCGGTGTCACTGTTACATTATTTGTCCACCAGAGAGCACTGACAAGTGTATTTTTCAACTGTGAAATGTCCCACATCTCCGTTAATCCCAACCATAACCCCAACCCTAACCATGACCTGACATTTCCTGCTGCTGCTGCTTCACATTAAAAGCATTCAACGTGAAACACGGGGTGGCTTTTATTGTGAAGCAGTTGCATGAAACGCCACAAATGTCAGTGAGGTCAAAAATGTGTCCACATAACAAGACGTGGTCATGATCAGCCTTTTTTTTTATTTTTTTTAAAGCGGGTCAGTTTTATTTTTGACTTATTTCTTCATCAAAACAACGTAAGTTTGTTTGGCTGCAGTGTAAGCAAACACTAACTGCTCTTCAGATGTACTTCTAACAAAGTAGTTGCTCAAGGAGTGTTTGATGTCGTACTGAACCGTGGTACTTCCTGTTACCAGCAGTTCACCAGGACTGAAATCTGAATGATTATAACTCATTTGTATTGGCCTCACAGAAACCCAGTATCAGTTCAGCTCTACCAAAATAAGGCATATAAGGTAACGAAGCCGTGAAGATAAAACATGAGGAGGAATTCAATGAAGCACTTGTACTGTATTACACCAGATAACAGATTCCCTCTGTGAAGTCCAACATCGAACATTTCACTCTCCTGCCAAATTCACTCCGCAGTACTTCACCTCTGTCCAACTAAACTCCTCCTCCTCCTCTTTCTTCATACAGATCACTTGCTCTCACTACTCTGCCTACAGCTTTACAGTAGCAGCAGATGTTGTTAGACAGATAGATGTTTTCTGGTCCCGAATTAGGTTGGCAGTGATATATTTGTAGTAAAAAATATTAGAAATCCAACAACCCACACCTGGACGCGTCTCTAAGAATTCCTAAAACTTCAGTTTTATTTCTGTACTAGCCTGAAAACTCTGGGACTGCAGTGGACAGAGCGTGTAAAGTGCAGAAAGGCAATAAAAACATTCCCAGCCAACATGCAAGCCTGCGTCTCTCCCCTGTAGGTCCTGCCTACTATCTGACAGAAGTGAGAGCTGCCATCTTGGCAGGAAACGTAGCATTTTTGCTTTCTGAAAAGCTTTGCGTGCGTGTATCCATGCCAAAACCATTCATCAGGGACAACCTTTTGTCTCTGAACTGTCAACTTTTCAGGAACTTAAAAAAGCACAGGCTTGATTTCAGAATTAAAGAGTCCGTCCAACTGAGACTTGAAGACAGTTTCATAAATCCACAAGTTGCAGGAGTTTTCTCAGTCTGCAGAGAAAGCAATAAATGTTTTTGTTGGAGGTGAAATCATCAATCAAAGATTTCACTCTGAACTCTGACAGAAATATCTGGCTTTTTTTTAAGCTAATAAATGCTCCACTATGTTTTCCAGCTAGTCGCTAGCTTTAATTGGTGGGCAGGTACCTGGGCAGGTAGCGTACAGAGGGTTTATCAGAGCTGCCTGCAGCTTTAAACGAGGCTGATGAGAGCAGTGGGACTGAATCCAAGCAGTAAAGCTGCGGGTCGTAAAAAACCAAGACAATGAGCTCAAAGATGCTAAAATGCTCTGTAAGGCTACATCGACACCACTACGTCTTAGTTTTAGTGTGGACGGGCAAAAACGGAGACCATTGGAAACAATGACATAGACACCCACGGTCACTCCCTGATTGGGTCTTATCAACCTCACAACAAGTGGTGAAAGCAACATTAATAATAAAATACAAGCGTTACTGACCTTGTTATCTTTGCTAGAAGCTGTTGTTTAGTTAAATGCAGCATTTTAATGCTGCAGCTGTCTTTAATGTTCCTCATTCAAAGTATTTTTTGCAACTAATCAACTGCAGAGTAGACAATCTTTTTCCTTTACACTGGCTCACGCACGCCCAGTGTACGTGATTGCTCAGGTAGGTATGTGTTTTCAGGTTTGATAGTATGGACGGAGATCGTTTCTGATACGGAGGTAAAACGGGTCGTCTGGACGGAAAAAGGCCGTTTTAAAATGAAAACGTAGGAGTGTGGACGTAGCCTCAAGCTGAGGGAAACAACTGAGTCGGGTGATTAGTAAGAGCGACCCCTTTCGCATTGCACATAGCAATTTGATTGACTGTTAATATGAAAATATTGATTAGTGCAGCTTTAAATTATAAGTTATATAGCTAATTTTACAATTTTAATTTTATATTGTCTCAAAGAGTTTTTGCTTTGTGTTAAGATGGAAATTAAACAGTGATGCATTTGAGAAGTTATTTTGTGAAATAGAAAAAAACATTTTCTACAAAAGTAAAGGCATCCATAACAGTATCTGGAATTCATAAAGATATCATATTGGTACCAATATCGAAAACTTTAAATGATACCTAGTGTTGATAAAAAATGGAAGTGCTACCATGCTCACAACACATGTACAAAAAACACATCGACACACACAGTAGATTCTCATTGCAGGCCGCACCAACGTCACACTTGTCTGGTCTTTATGTCCTTCGAGCTTAAAGGGGGATACCACTCAATTTTAGCTTAAAAATCCTAGAAAAGTCTGGATTGTGTAAGTGATTGTTCACGTCTCCTCTTTCCAGAAACGAGGCGTAAGAGTTTGTTCTGCTCCCCACTCTGGGATGTCACACTGATGTACAGCTCTACTGCACACACACACACACACAAACACACACACACACACACACACACACACACACCGAGCTGGAAAAACGATGACAGAGTCCAGAGTGTTTTATTTTCTCTGGGATCAGGGGACATTTTCCAGCGTGGAATCCATCACACTGTCACAATAATGGAGCTCGAAGAACAAAAATGTCTCTTCGGGCTTCAAAGCGAGTCTCCGTTTTTCTTTCAGTGACAGATTACGGTCTTTAGCTTTGGGGAAGAGCTGCTCATAAATACAGAGTTTTGCCGCGATGAGACTTAAAAACAGGAAATGTAAATACTTCACTTGAGTGATATTCCCCTTTAAGTGACCCCTTCAAAAAAAGGTGCAATAGTAAATATGCTTTGT